TCAGGCAAGCCAATTACGGAAACATTTCTAAAATACTTATGTTGCTTTTAATCAAAATAAGTGAAATAAGCACTCAAATTGGAATTTAAACCAGAGGAACTGAATACTGTAATAATATGATTACACAACCCCAAAATGATCGTCTACCAAAGTGTGTGCCAGAACCTGGTGTCACAAGCTACGGGCAACTAGTAGAATATACATCCAAAAGAATACCACACTACCCTACTGTCTGGATCCGATAGACAGAAAATAACAAAAAAAAAAGAAAGACTTCTTCGGCTGCGGATCGACATGGAAGGAAAGCAGCTCACCATAGAAGTCCCAAGCCTGCTCACGAATGCGCACCCGAGAAATAACCGGATCCACCTGCCTTAAACCCTGTACATTTAAGTACAGAAGCGTAGCATGAGTACATAAACAATATGTACCCAGTGAGTATCCCGCCTAATCTCGAAGAAGTAGAGACGAGAGGTCGACTTGATACTCACTAGGGTCAGATAATATTATGAGCATAAGTTTAACAATGAAAATCTTTAATAGGCAGCAGTTACAACAAGGCATATAAGTCATTTTCTCGCTAGGATTCCGATTAATCAATTACTACAGTTACAATTATCAATGCATTTCGGGCCATGAAAAGTAGTACTAACATTTAACAATCTCAGGCAAAGCTATATAAGCATGCGCAAACATGCCGAGGCGACGGCCCGATCCAACAGATTTAAACTGTGCACTTGCCGAGGGTCGACGGCGCGCCTATAGATGCATCTATTCATACCGAGGCGATCGGCCCAATCCACAAATAAGTAGAAATATCAAGTATACACACAAGGCACATCAATAGTCATAAATTCCAAGCAAGACTTCAACAATTATACAAGTACGTTCTTAATCCCTTTTTAAATCTCTAGCATATCCTAGGTGCTCATGTAATAAGATAATATAGGGAGTGATGTAAAATAAGCATGATGTGGGTCCTAAACTACCCGGACCATTAACATAGTAGTAGTTACGCACGGACTCTCGTCACCTAGCGCGTGCGTAGCCCCCGCATTTAGCAGCAATTACTCAATTATTAATCCTATGGGGACAGTTCCCTCTTACAAGGTTAGAAAGGAGACTCACCTTGCTCCAAAGCGCGCTCCCAATATCGAGAACAAGCCCAAGCTCTTATTTCGAAACCGAACGATCACCAACTAGTTAAAATAGGTAAGAACTAGTCAATAAAGGCTTACAAGGTCGAATTCTAACTATTTAAGTAATTTCCCAACCTTTTCCGCAAGTTTATTCCGACCCCGGGCCCACGTGCCCGGATTCCGATATTTTTCGAAGGAAATTGTCCTCTACAACCTAAGGATCAATAATATATAAATTCTAGTCCATTTCATAACAAATTTCATGCTTAAATCTTAATTTTATTAAAACCCTAGGTCTAGCTCTAACCCTTTGATTTTATCTAATTTTTAGTGTTTAATCTACCTAATATACATGTATTTAAACTAATAATGCATGGGAGTAACGTACCTTGAAGTGCTATGTTGAAACCCTCTCTTTGGAAGCCCCCAAATCGCCTAAGTGTGGAGTGAGAAATGAAAAATGGCCTTTGAGTTCGAATTAAATGAACTCTCTGCCCAGCGATTTCCGCTTCTGCGGTGCTAGGACCGCTTCTGCGGAAATGGGCCCGCTTTTGCGGAAATGGCCCAAGAAGCCTGGACCGCTTCTGCGGTCAGGTGCCCGCTTTTGCGGGTCCGCTTCTGCGGATTTTGTGCCGCTTCTGCGAATTTGGCCTGACGCTACAGGGCCGCTTCTGCGGTCGGGGGACCGCTTTTGCGGAACCGCTTCTGCGGTCGGGGGACCGTTTTTGCGGAACCGCTTCTACGGTTATGAAGCCCCATCTGCAGTCTCCCTTGGCCAGGCCCTAGGACTCTTCTGCGATCAAATGACCGCATCTTCGGTCCCGCTTCTGCGGTCCAAGAACCGCAGATGCGGTTATGACAGAAGCAGCAACTTCAGCTATTTCTCAATATTTCTACTTCGCTCGAACCTCGCTCGTTTGACGCTCAGGGCTCCCGAGCCCCGCCAGAACACACCGACAAGTCTCAAATCACGAGGCGGTCCTACTCGAACCCCTGGATCATTCGAAACAACGCTAAATCTTGGAATCACCCCTTAATACCAAATGAATCAAACTATTGAATCTTCAAGTTCTTAATTCTTCTCTAACGGGTCAAAATGCCCTTAAACTGCTCGGATTGACACCAAATTTTACGGGCAAGTCTTAAATGACATTATGGACCTGTACCAAACTTCAGAACCAAAATCCGAGCCCGATACCTAGGGAATCAATGATCACTTAGCTTCTTTAATTCCTTAAAGCTTCAATTAAACAATTTTAGATAAAAAATTCATTACTCGGGCTAGGGACCTCGGAATTCGATTTCGGACACACGCCCAGGTCCCATATTTTCCCACGGACCCTCAAAAATTGTCAAATCACGAATTCGAGTCCGCTTTCCCAAAATGTTGACCGAAGTCAAACTTGGTCTTTTAAGAAAGTCCTAAAGAAGCAAATGAGCATATTTTACTCAAAACCCTTCCAATTCCCAAACCAATCGCCCCCCACAAGTCGTAAATTAGTTAAAGCAAGTACGGGAGGCTTTCTTTAGGGGAACGGGGTTCTAAAAGGAAAAACGACCGGTCAGGTCGTTACATTCTCCACCTCTTAAACAAACGTTCGTCCTCGAACGGACATAGAAAAGTACCTGGACTATTGAATAAGTGGGGATATCTGCTCCGCATGTCCTCCTCAGACTCCCAGGTCGCCTCCTCGACCAGTTGGCCCCTCCACTGGATTCTCATCTCAGAAATCTTCTTGGACCTCAGCTGGCGATCCTGTCTATCAATAATAGCAACTGGCTCCTCCTCATAGCCCAAGCTCTCATCTAGCTGAATGGTGCTGAAGTCCAACACGTAGGATAGGTCGGCCTGATACTTCCAAAGGATCAAAACATGAAAGACTGGGTGAACTCTCGATAAACTAGGGGGTAACGCAAGCTCATAAGCAACCTCCCCAACTCGCCTCAACACCTCAAAGGGGCCAATAAACCTTGGGCTCAACTTTCCCTTCTTCCCGAACCTCATAATGCCCTTCATGGGCGAGACTTTCAAGAGAACCTTCTCACCAACCATAAATGATACATCCCGCACCTTCTGATCCGCATGGCTCTTTTGCCTGGACTGAGCTGTGCAAAGCCTCTCGTGAATCACCTTTACCTTATCCAAGGCATCCTGTACCAAATCTGTACCAAGTAACTTAGCCTTGCCAGGCTCAAACCACCCGATGGGAGAACGACAACGTCGACCATATAAAGCCTCATATGGGGCCATCTCTATGCTGGACTGATAGCTGTTGTTGTATGCGAACTCTGCTAGAGGCAAGAACTGATCCCACTGCCCTCCAAAACCAATCGCACATGCTCTAAGCATATCCTCCAAAATCTGCACCGTCCGCTCCGACTGTCCGTCGGTCTAAGGATGGAATGCTGTACTAAGCTCTACACGAGTCCCCAACTCACTCTGCACGGCTCTCCAGAAAGGGAAGTGAACTGAGGGCCTCTGTCTGATATGATGGACACCGGCACACCATGCAATCGGACTATCTCCCGAATATAGATCTGAGCATACCTCTCTACTGTATAAGTAGTCGCCGCTGGAATGAAATGGGTCGACTTGGTCAATCTATCCACAATGACCCACACCGAATCAACCTTCTGCAAAGTCCGCGGTAACCCAACTACAAAATCCATGGTAATGCGCTCCCACTTCCACGCTGGTATAGGCATCCACTGAAGTAGGCCGCCTGGTCTCTGATGTTCATACTTGACCTGCTGGCAATTCAAACACTTAGTCACATACTTCACTATGTCCTTCTTCATCCCCCGCCACCAGTAGTGCTGCCTCAAATCACGATGCATCTTCGTAACTCCCGGGTGAATGGAATACCTCGAACTGTGGGCCTCTTCTAGAATCCTCTCCCTGAGACCATCAACATTAGGAACACATAGACGGCCCTGGAGCCGCAGCACACCATCCTCGCCAATAGAAACCTCCTTGGCACCTCCCTGAAGTACCGTCTCTCTGAGGACTGCCAAATGTGGATCATCGAACTGCCGGCCCTTGATCTCCCCCAATAACGAAGACTGGGCGACCACACACGCTAGAGCTCGGCCGGGCTCTGAAATATCCAACCTCACAAGCCTGTTAGCCAAGGACTGAATGTCCAAGGCTAGTGGCCTCTCCTCTGCTGGAATGAATGCTAGGCTACCCATACTCTCCGCCTTTCTGCTCAAGGCATCCGCGACCACATTCGCTTTGCCCAGATGATAAAGAATGGTAATGTCATAATCCTTCAGCAACTCAAGCCACCTGCGCTGCCTCAAATTGAGATCCCTCTGCTTGAACAAATGCTGTAAGCTGCGGTGGTCGGTGTAAACCTCACAAGGCACCCCATACAAATAGTGCCTCCATATCTTAAGAGCATGAACAATCGCTGCCAACTCCAAATCGTGCACAGGGTAATTTTTCTCGTGAATCTTCAGCTGACGCGAGGCATATGCAATAACTCGCCCCTCCTACATCAGCACACATCCCAAACCAACGCGTGAGGCGTCGCAATATACAGTATACATCCCCGAGCCGAAAGGCAATACAAGAACTGGTGCCGTAGTCAAAGCTGTCTTGAGCTTCTGGAAGCTCTCCTCACAATCATCGGACCAAATGAATGGGGCACCCTTCTGGGTCAGTCTAGTCAAGGGTGATGCAATAGATGAAAAGCCCTGCACGAACCGCCGGTAATAACCTGCTAATCCCAGGAAACTCCTGATCTCGGTCACTGAAGTGGGACGTGGCCAACTCTGAACTGCCTCAATCTTCTTGGGATCAACCTTAATACCCTCTCCGGACACAATATGCCCCAAGAATGCCACTGACTCAAGCCAAAACTCACACTTGGAGAACTTAGCATACAGCTGCTGCTCTCGCAAGGTCTGAAGCACTACTCTCAAATGCTGCTCGTGCTCTCCCAGGCTACGCGAGTATATCAAGATGTCGTCAATGAAGACGATGACAAAGGAATCAATATAAGGCCTGAATACCCTGTTCATCAGATCCATAAATGCTGCTGGCGCATTGGTCAAGCCAAAGGACATCACTAGAAACTCATAATGGCCATATCTAGTCCGGAATGCAGTCTTCGGAACATCCGAGTCCCGAATCTTCAGCTGATGATATCCTGACCTCAGGTCAATCTTAGAGAACACCCTCGCACCCTGCAGCTGGTCGAACAAATCATCAATACGAGGCAACGAGTACTTGTTCTTGATGGTGACCTTGTTCAACTGGCGGTAATCAATGCACATCCGCATGGTCCCATCCTTCTTCTTCACAAATAGCACTGGTGCGCCCCAAGG